TTAGCTTCAGGCTATGATAACTATAACTTTGAATAGCTGTTTATGAATGAGAGCAGGATAAAGAGCCGTATGCGGTGGTGATAAAATAACACCCTATGAGATAAAGTAACGATTGAGGATAAAACAGGTTTTATCAATTAAATGCACATTTATAGTATAAGTAAAGTGGAAACAAAATGCTGGAAGGTAGAGATTTTTGGCAGAAGAGCCAAAAACATTTCTTGCTGCCAAACACTGTCAAATTCTTTCTCTCACCCCCAGAAATTGCTCATTTTCTGTGTATACTGTACAGCACAATTCCATGAAGGGTACACACTCAGACCATTCATGGCATCCCTAAAATGAAGTGAAAGGGCCTGGTGCTGGGGGTGATTTAGCTCCTGTGTGAACGCACAGGGGTAACATAATCTGTGGCCATCCAATGGCTGAAGAAAATGCCTTGGGACCCGGAAATTGCAGTGGCGGGGAACAGAGTGTGGGGACCGAAGATGGATCCGACACTGCTGGAGAAGGGCAATCTTGTAAAGTAAATTAGTGCAAAAACCCACACATAGCAGTTTACTACAACTTTAACAAAGAAAAATAAAGCTTCTACACCTAAGCAATATTTATGTTTGTGAATTGAACATTTTTAGGGGAAAACATTAGTAGTGGTGTTAAAATAGCCCATCCACCTTAATGAATTGAGCCTATAGTTTGGATCTTATTTACCCGGGAGCAGAGGTGTTTTTCCAATGCCAACAATAGTTTGTTATTGATAACTGGAAATACAACATATTTACACATACATGGACCTCAACAGGGAATCTGGTAACTTTGGTATTTGCCAGAAGAATTATTATGTCTGAATATATTATTTATTAGTAGAATAGCTTGTGTTTTCCTGTGACCCGTGGGCCATGGGGCGGCAGGCTTGGTGTGTAATTAAATAGGTTATGGTCAACCTAAAGCTTGACAGAACAGTCTTTTGTCCTATTCATTAAACAGTCGGTCTTTCTCCAAAGCTTTACATGACTGCATGTAGATGCATTAGTCTGTCCCTGCAAACTCAATTGATTAATTATCACTTGTTTTCCAGTCTGAAAGATTTTAGTTTAAATATTCAGAAAGAATGAAATGCCATAGGTCATGAAGCAGATTTTTAACTGTAGAGCCTATAGATCTCATACGAAAACTTTAATTTGTCTTATTCAGCCCCATTAAAAGAACATATAAGGTAATAAGAAAAAAGGTTCTGGCACCTTACGAGATAGTTGTGAGTGTGAAAAGCTCTGTCCTAGAAGCTGGCCTACCTGCAACACAAAGCATCTCTCCCTACCAAATCACCCAGCTGATTCTCGGAGCAACTGCAGGCACCCACAAGGACAGTGCCCACAAAGTGCAACCACCCTCAACAAAAAGACTGCAAAAGACTGCTAACTAAGGTGGCAGACTAAAATGAATCACCACTCAGTGAAGGTGAAGGTGCTGGCCTGTACATTCTATTAACAAGACACCACTCTCTATAATCATCCAGAATGTGGATTTTACAGACCGCACTCAGATACTGCAAGCTTACAATGCAACACAATCTAGTAGAAAAGGCCATACATTGTTGCATTTGCTGACTATTCTGTAGTGGTCACTAAATGGTGTAAAGCATTTAACCAGATTTGCCAAACCTTGCGAATAAGAGTGTGAAATTTGCTTTCATATTCAGCAACATTTAGAATCAATACAGTAAAAGTCAAAGAAAGATTCCTAAGGAACACCTGACAATGCAAATAGATCATGAGGGAAATCTCCACTTGAAGCGGGGGAGGATCCAGCACTCACCCAAAAGTCTACAGCTAAGGAGTGCAAGGCAATCTAAATTACAATAAGTGAGAGAGGGAGCTTTGTTCATTTTGGTTCGGCATATTACAACCACAAGTTATAGTTATTGACATCACTTGGTGTTCAAAAGTTAGATGAATTCAAATATCTATATACTTATATTCTACCAATGTGGAATGGATACACAGTTTGATGCAATTTGACTGTATGAGGTATGTTGTCTATATGTTATTAAAGTTATTCATGTAAGCCACGCTTATGTAACTGTGTGGCTGATTTCAGTAATATTGGAAGTCACCTGCTCAGCAATAGACACTTTTACCAGTTTGTTGAAATTTTTTTATGCTTGGTTAATTAATCTTAGTTCATTCCTCTCAAGTTCTCCCATGATAAAGTATCTAGCTCCCAAGGGTCCAAGCACAGGGCGCCTCCTCAATAATTCTTTTAGGTCACAGCTATGGATGACATCTCTCCATTTCAGTGCCAACCACGATGCACTGGTAAGAGAGGGGAGCTGTACCAGGACACCCTCCTGTACTACATACTTTATCACTGATAACTGTGAGCACTTACTATCTCTCAGCTGCACGTAACGTGAAACTCATCACTTGGAATGTACATGTTCTACATTCACCACACAAATGAACACAAATCCTATCTCACCTAAAAAAAACTTTGAGCTGATATGGCACTTTTCCGAGAGTCATACTTCTTATAGGTGGGAGTGATAAATGGTGCAAAGCAGGAGTAGTCACTTTAATTAACAAATTACTATCTTGCTCTTACGTTCACTATGTGTGGGACACTCAAAAAGGTTGAGCCGAAGATGAAAATCAACAGCATTGACTTTCAATAAGGCTTATGGACTAAACTCTGCCAATGGCTCCTTTTGTGACTCCCTACTACACCCGGTGCCACAGCAACATCCTCACATGCCATTACTTAATGTGGGCAAAGTCAATGCAGTCCATGACCCTCAGGAAGATAAATTATGGATGTGACCTACATCTCCATGACTATTAAATATGCAAGATGTTAACACACTTAACTGATGATGATATGTTTACAATTAAGTTGCAGGGTTGGTGGTCAAAATACACTGAATAAAACTGACTCCATAAGGAATTCCCTGTTCTTTACTTGGAAACCACTGAGGCAGTCCTACATGTAAAATGTCGGCCTGTGCAACATCACTGAAGAGAAACATTGAAACACTATACAGATTTGTGTCATAACGTAGGGCAATCATATGCCCAGTACAAATTACAAATGTGTCTGATTTCCACAGGGAGGAATGGCTGAAATGTAAACAAATTTGTGATCATTGGTTAAAACAATATGATATGCATGTCAAAACCTTATGAAATGTAAAACTATTTGTATGCTTTAACGCCTTTAAATTATATAGAACATTCGATAATTTGGGGAAGGCAATACCTTCAAAAGAAGACTTGCTTGTCCCAAAGATTTAAAAAAATATTCGTATTGCTTGAGTATCTAAGTTATTGACAAATTAATATGCCCATATCTAAAAGGTAAAAATAGGTCTTGATTGATTTCATAAAGGGTAAACACTTAAGATGGCTGAAATGGCTAAGCATATAAAATTAAAAGTCCTACCTAACAATAGCCAAATGCAAGTTGCATGCTTTTATTTTTATTAACCAGAAAAGCATCTTTTGTGCCCCTCTCTGATTTTACTTTGTCACTGGGTCCTGACATTTCCTGACTTCATGGTTAAGCACCACCAACAACCATCCACCTGTCAAATGAGAGTGCTCCTACTGGTCACTAAGACAGTGTCTTTGGGTGGTGGAATGGCAAATGCAAGGGCTTAGCCATGAAATCAGGGAAAGTGAGGCTCTAGTAACAAAGTGAAACTAAATTAAAGAGGAGCACAGATGAAGCTTTTTTTGTCTGATAAAGTCATGACCAGGCATCCTGTGGTGTCTTCTGACATTTACTTTAAACGTATAAAAGGCACAGGTTCGATTTATGCACTAATTTGGTAATAAGGGTGTGTACAATTTAATTTTATTCAGTTGTCACAAGCCTTCTAGATGCTCAAACAACAAGCAATATAAGTTTTATTCTGCATAGAATATAACATAAATACAAGGGAAGAGTGGTTATGCTGGGTCCCCACAATCTCATGGGCCTGGCTTACTTTGTAGCTGGATGCTAACAAGCTGTTGTTGTAATATGTTTGCACAGCAACACAACAAAAAGACAAAAGGTAGCTACTGGCATTTTAGATGGATAATGATTGAATTGCCTTAGAGTCTCAGGGAACAAACATTTTTGATGGTACATTTTTTATTAATTCAATATTCCTTTTCACTGAGCATTCTGGTTTTGTACTTATGATTACTGTACAGTTTTTAAAGTATATCTAAACTGAAGAACACACATTTATAGCAGAAATTAATTCTGCAGGGTGGGGATGGGCTCTTGCCATAATGTTCTAGTATGCACAGCATGTTTGCACTGTGTGGCACACTAACTCCCGAGTGTTCCCTCTCATACTTATGCAAACATTGATTCCAAAGCACAATAGGTATAAGACATTTAAATTGTTGGATTCACCTGCACCATCAATGTATCTAATTAGTTTTGGGTGAAAGTAAAATGAGGCTTTTAGCATAGGTTTCAGTAGGCATAAATGGTGCTTTTCTATGGCTGTTTTACCCTGAAAAAAACTTACAAAGGTTGTGAGCAGATATGTATACTCCAGGGCTGCTGAATGTAAAAAAAAATACTTTGTCCAGTCGTGCTCCTTTATTCATGCTTTACTGTGGTTGCAGTGCTCAGAACAACACATATTTTTATTATTGTATGACCTTTTATTATATGACATTTTCTGCCTAGGTCAATGTAACCTAAGCAGAAAGTGTCAGCATTTTATTTAACAAGCAAATAAGTCAAACAAGCACCTTTTGAGCACCACTTTTTTTGGACAGAAAATGTTTTTAAATGATTTAATACCTCAGTACAGCATAGACTGGATGGCAAATAGGATTAATAATTGGAGCCTGCTATTAAGCATGTACCATATGTAGTTATTATAGCATACCACAGTTTAATATAAAATTCATAGTCAGTTATTCATTAATAATATGTTACTTACCGCAAATCATAATAAAAAGAAAAATACTTCTGCTAATGAACCCTGTTTGCAATTCTAGACCATCACTCTGAAGAGCCGTCCAAGAATGTCAGCAGGATCCTGCAGAAGCAGGTCGATGATGTAAGGACTGAGTGGGACAGGTTGAATATGCGCTCAGTTGAGTGGCATAAAAAATTAGAAGATGCACTTGAAAGACTGCAGGAACTCCAAGATGCAATGGATGAACTGGACCATAAACTGCATCAAGCAGAGGCCATGAAAGGATCCTGGCAGCCAGTGGGAGATTTGCTGATTGACTCTCTTCAAGATCACATAGGAAAAATCAAGGTCAGTTTTCTGCTTGCTGCAGAATATAAATAGCAATGGAAAATAAGTGAAAGTATTAGGAAACTGTTGAATTGTCATCACAAATGTAATTTTAATGCAGAGCTGTCATTTCTCACACTTTAGAAATAGGTATTGTTTACCTTTCATTGTTCGCTCAAAGCTTAATTTTAGTTACATTTATTTTAGGGGTATGCAGTACCAGTTACATAACTTACCTCCAATAAAGTGTTTCCCATGTCCTTGTGGCTGCTGCTTAATGTGAAATATTCTTCCTCTGACACCAGATATGCCCCACAGTGCCAATCTTCTGGCAGTGTGAGGGTTAAGATCAGGGGCCATTGGTATCGCTTGCCTTCCCCTCCCTCTTCTCCCACCCATTCACAGAAGTTGCAGTGTTCTTTCCCAGAATACAAACAGTTCTGTGATTGGAGGAGACAAATGCTGTCAATCATCCACCCGTCCTCCATTCAGATCAGCACTGTGGGGAGGAAGATTTCTACACTAAGCAGCAGCCAGCTTCACTAGAGTTAAGTTATGTATGGTGCTGCATACTCACAAAAAAATTAACTAAACCATAACCACTTCAGTTCTGACACCTATTTATACTATATGGACCAGATCAGTTTTTACATTGCAGATAGTTGCTTACTGATTTGGTAATAACTTCAATCAAAGTAATTCATGTATTGCTTTTTGGCGGAAATAAATAAGGCTTTTTTGGAGTATTGTCCAACATGAATTTCAGCAGGTAACTGAGATGAGATTGAATGGTTACATTGTACTTAGCTGCTCCTAAGGGCTATATAACACCAGTGATTCTGTCACTGGTAACAACATGACAGTGCTAGAATTGTTAAGAGTCAACTTGCCTTCTCCTCCAGCATCACTTCCTTCGTGGCCAACCAATCAAGAATCAGCAGTGTTCTGGGCAGCAGGGGAGTGCCACAAACAAAATGATTAAATTGCATCTATCAATGCTCAGTGTAACTTCCAAACTTTGAACTGAGATACTGCACACTGTCAGCTTTGTTCTAAGTGCAGACAAGAAGTCCATAATATGACCTTGATCCACAAAAAATTAAAGCAGAATATCAATAAGCCCTACGTATACGGCCACATTTATACTTTCCTAACCCCTAGGCTAGCTGTCTTGTGATAACCTTTTGCCATATTCAGTCAAATGATTATTTTCACTGCTTAAATGTTTTATTTTTTGCATTGGGATAGAAGAGTTCACGTCATGTACCAATTTCACTCTTTACATGCATGCCTATAGGCCTATGACTTTGGCTAATGTAGTTATCTCTACATGAGTTATCTCTGCCTGAGGCTGCATTGTTAACATTGATCTCCATGTTTCCTGAAACTGTTAGTATGGGTGACAGTTAACAGTGTTGGGGTTTTCCTCCAGGAGCTGCAACCTGCACTTTAGGTGCTCCAGAGAATAGAATAGTATCAGTGCATTCTATAATGATTATCTGCAGGCAATGTAAAAGTCAGTGATGTAGACATTCATGTTGAATTAAACAGACCACATATAGTAAGCGTTCACATCTAGGATATTACTGTTATGCCATACCCTGATATACACTTTGAATAGTGCAGAAATCCTCACCCGATGTCACTATTGCAGTTACAATATTTTCTACTTAAACACTTCCTATTAGTAATTGGTTTAGTAGTGAGTGACAGTGGGGAGAGGACACACTTAACCTGTTGCAATGCACCACAAGGAACGTGCTGTGTTGGGTAAATAGTGCAGGTACTGTTTTTGGTATGTTGTGGTAGGGACCTTAATTTGTTGTTATTTTAACTTTACCAAACTTTAGTGAAAACTCACTTTTCATGGTCTGTACTCCACACGTAAATAAATTAACCCAAAAACCCAGTTCAAAATTTTACAAAAATGTTTATTTTTCTTAGCATCTGAATAAGATTAGTTGTGATTTGTAGATGTGCTCTATACACTTGTTTTAGTGGTCAGTTCTAAATAATAAGCCAATTTATTAATACAAGACTAACAATCAGCAATTATCAAGTCTACCATTTGTCAGCTTATCATAACTTTAAAAGCCTAATGGTATAAAAAGATCTTCTATTTAGCAAAACTTAGTTTACAATATTTGTTGCAAGTTACAGGAACAAAGCTTTTTGCAGTCATTACTGTTTGTACAGAATTTGATGATGTATGAAACTGCACTATACAGCTTGTGTTTTCTTAGCTCACTGGCTCAGAATTAGAATCATCTAAAGAAATTGATTAGGCGTATACGTCAGTTGGCACATTGGCCGGAGAAGACGTAGCTAAGGAATCTGCAACTGCATTTACTAACACAGATTCATGTGTGGACACTTGTTTCTAAGGGAAAGCAATATGAAGGTTACAGTTATTGGCTGTATACAAATTACATTCTTAACTAAAAATGATAATGGAAGCTACTTTAGTTTCTCCTCTTGTAGGCAAAAGTTTTGTTCTTGGCTCTTCATCTGTAGAACTTGCTTACAAAACCACAATGCAAACAGTTTGCTTCTGTATGCGGTTATTTTTTTCCATGGTTGTCTGCAGGGGTACTAAATGAAATCCACATTGCTGTTACTTAAAGTATATTTCCACTTTTGCAGTCAATTTTGAGAAACCTCCACCACATGTTTGTTATGTGTTCCCATTCACACAGCATACGTAAAACTATTTTTTTACAAAAAGTTTCTTACCTTTTAGATGTGTTTGTGTAGCAGGTCTTTGCAAGCTTCTCTCTTTATTTCCAAGTGACTCTGACTGTCCCCGTAGAAAGACTAGAGACAGAATGACTGAGCTTCCCCTAATTAACATACAATGCATTCCAGAGCAAAACTAAGTACAAAGAAGAATTTTTCTTTCAGAATAGGGCATGTGCAAGCAGAAATAAATAAAAAAAGGTTATGCTATGTGGATGAGAAATATGTAACAAATATAAAATCCAAATTTGGCTGCAAAAGTGGAAATACACTTTAAAGCAACATACTCCCTACCAGGGCAGGATAGCAATTTGCAATATCAATTATTTTTCCTGTAAGCATCTCAACTGAAATCAGTCTTATTTGAGCAAAGAAGCAAAATTCACTGCAGCTGTACACAATTTGCCCGACTGGATGGCCAAAATGCAGTACACGTTATTGCTTCTTCACCAAGTTGGAAGGAGAAGATTTTTTTTGTAGAACCAAAATTCACATAAAGTCATGGTAATCCGTGACAAGCATTTATTCACCATAAATCATGTACTTGCCTAGAGGGCAGGGGTCCACAAACCCAATCAAACCCAAACATTTATTATATGAAAATAAATATTAAGTTAAAAATAGCACGACAAATAATAATCATAATAACAATAAAAATTAAATATTAATACAAAAGAGCTATTTTTAGTGCTGTTGACATATCTTCTTGGTATCAGCAAATGCACTGCAATCAGACAACTTAAAGCTGCTCTTGCTGGCGGCTGACTATCCAACCCTGGCTAATGATATATAGCAGCTAGCCACCTCATCTTTAAAACTAGTGATGTGAGGAGATTCACAAAGACCCCAAAACATTAATTGACCCCTATTGACCTTCCATCATTTATTGACCACCTCCAGACCGGCCTCTAGACATTAATTGACCCCAGTTGACAACTAGCCATTTTATTGTCCTCTTGTATAGTCCCATGAATATGTGGGGGACAACCTTGACCACTTTTGGGACCCCTGAAGTAGAGGTTCTTCTTACTTTTTACCAGTTAACCTGCAGGCAAAGATATTCCCAGTATATAAGAAGTCATTGTGAACTCCACTTAAACTTATTGTAAGAGTTATATGGGAGAGTTTCCAAACTCCTGTGATGTAATTTTTCTAATATGGAAGTTAGGGTAGTTTAGGGCAGAGTAGAAGGTCCTCTTCACTACTAGTATACATCAGACAGATAGTAAAAGCTGACATTTACTTTTTGTGTGGACATAATTAAGTAGTAATGGGAATCTTTGAGTGTACTGCTCTTCGGTGTTACCGAGCTTTGGCTCAAACTCCTCTTTTCCATACAAGTGTGGCATTGCTTAGGTGATCTTGTAAATTCTGCTAACCCCAGTCTATGAAAACACCATTCTGAATATACAAACCATTGGCAAGGCCAAATTTAAAAAGATAGGAGAATCAGGAAACAAATCAGGTTACAATTTAAATGTTTCTAATACTTAGATGCTAATCTAAGATAGAAATGATAGATAACTCTTCCTTAACTGATACATGCAAACAGCTAAATTTTTCTTCTGTTTTATAAGAGCCCCTGTGCACACAATGTTAAAGAGATGAAGAGCTTCAATATATTCAAGGCCAGGGCCTAGCTGGAATTACACAGTAATGATTACCTAGAGAGAGGTGCCACAAAGAACTGCATAATTCCCATAACTAGCCTGAAGATCCTGAAGTTGTGCAAATTATATCTCATGTGAGTTCTCCAATAAACAAATTAAATGACATAGGGTAAATAGGTGTCACTGTCGTAAATGCAGTACTGAGCTCAGATTCCAGCATCTATGCCACTTTCAGCTAACATAACTGGCAAGGACACTGCTATATTTTCTGCAGTGTATATATCTGTCTTACTTTTATGTCAGTAGGGAATGTGTTTCAATCATTTATACTGTATATCTCTAAAATGTTATCCAGGCCTATAAAAATAAAGATATCTAAGAGGTCACTTTAGAGTTCTTTGATTGTAAGAACTTTTCATGCTCCATGAACTCTGATATACCCTGTAAAATATTGTTATTGTCCATAATGCTGTTATGGGCAAGAGGGGGCTGAGTTGGTGGGCAGAGAGCATTTGCCTGCTTGGCCAGTCCTAGTAAGTTATGTTGAACTGGTGGCCCTTAGTGGAGACAGGAATCATAGTGTAATGTGCAGTCAGTGACTCATTCAGGGAATTATATATATATATAAACAAAGTCACAATTTGCACACCAGGTAACAATCCCATGTAAAACTTT